GGTTCTGGCTCTGGAGCCTTTGGGTTTAGGGAGGTGACCGGGGAATAAATATGCTTTAGGCGTGAGCTATGTTTGGGCACAGGCTTTAAAAAAGTACCTCCTTTTCCTGCCCTGCCTTTTTCTCCTCTGGTGGATGGCTACCCCCTTCTGTGCTCCACCTGAGGACACTTGCAGCCCTTCCTGGGGCTCAGGAGAGAAGAGAGACTTCTACATTCTTGGACAGAAGCTGAGCCAGTGGCATTTCCAAAATAAGCCATGTGTTTATAAAAGGGACATTATTGATAGAGTTTCTACTGCTGTGATTAAGACTTGAAGCCAAGAGAACAAAGTACTGAGAAAAGCAGGCTCAAATCAAAAGCCCCTTTGTTCCTTAAGAAGCTGAAGCCCGGCTACTCTTCGGCCACCAAGACCTGAGAGGCCTCATGGTTCAGACCTCAGCCCGGAGTGCAGGGAGCTGGACACCTTGAGAGCGTCTTCCCCATCCCTCTCCAGAGAGCAGGGTCTGATACTATGGGGCAAGACGGGTCACATGTCTTTCTAGCATCAGCCCCAAGGCACCTCTCTCAGGCTGTGGAACAGTATTGAGTTTTTGTAGCTGTGTTGTGAAGTTTTGTGGAAATAGTGGTTTCCTCCAGTGAGTTACAAAATGCTACCAATAAGTATGATTTTAATAGATATTAGTGATTGCTGGGTAGTTTTCGAGGGGAATGTGAGTGTTCTGCAGTCAGATGCATCACTCCATGGTGCAGCAGCAGGCAAGTCCGGAAGCAGTCACCTGCGTTCTAGGGAAAACCTGGTCTCTTTGTGTCCAGTATTAAGCAGTATCTATTAAATATAAATAAAACATGTCTGGTGTCAAGACAATTTGAAAATACTGAAGTCCTGGGTCCTTCTAGAGATGAGAGAAAACAAGCCCAGAGAGGTTCTGAGCAGTGGCCTGGCACTACCTCTCAGTGGCTCAGCTTCCAGAATGCCGTGTCACAGGGCTGGCTAGGGCATGGTGATGCCAGGCTGTCATGAATTATCTCATCTTGAGCATGGGGAATAGATGGGGCATGACACTTGAAAGCCTGAATTTCTGTTTAATGTAAAGCCACACCTGCCTGGGGACTTTTGGCTGAGACACCTGACTAAGAGACCTCTGAGAAAGGACAGGTCAGATTTTATTTGAGCTGAACAGGTCCAGCCACACTAACCCTGCTTGAGAATGTGACCAAATGG